ACACACACACACACACACACACACACACACACACACACACGTAAAAACTAATTAAAATATTATAGCTATTTGCAATCGGAATTAATGATGTTGTAATTACGTAAAGAGAGAGTATATAAAAAGAGACACAGAATGCGATATACTTTGCATCGAAGATATTTTATATTTTTTTTACAAATATATATATCTATTATTGAATTTTATACAATAAAAGTAAAAATTATAATAAAACACGTACATTAATTATAAGAAAAAATCAGTAATAGTTAAAATCAATTTCAGATTCTAATTCTTAGATTATTTTGTATTTTTATTAAGTGGCAAATTACTACATATGACAATAAATTCAAATAAAAGCTACATATATTTAAAGTAGGTACATCTTCTTTTCGTCGTTACGAATTTTTATGATAAAAATAGATATTATAAAAAAAGCTGACAAACCAATATATAGCATACTAAAAATATAATTGCTGTATATTAATTAAATCGATTTTGAATTAATTGAATTAAATGGTATTGTAGATATCATTGTAATAATTATTTAATGACTAAATAGTCTTACAATTAAGAAGACTATGAAATTTTTAAGAATGAAATAGTGAAGAATTAAATGTATCGTTTAACTCCCTTTCTCAGCCGTCTGAATTGCACCGTATATATTTGCCTACTAGGATTGCATCACTGACTTCTGTGATTTTTTATTTTTCTATTTTTAAAATGTCACATTTAACACTGGCAAATTGCCAGTACTTTTATCGGCGGAAATATCACGGCAGCAATAGTTTTTTGAGTTACGAGTTTTTAAAAATTTAAAAATATTCAAGAATTAAATCTCTTTCTTCTTTTAATTTTGAATAAAGATTTTAATTTCACTTAATCTCGATTATAAATATTTATTATACAAAAGTTTTGTATTGATCAAAATATCTATAAATAACAAAAAACAAAAGTATAAATAAAATTAAAAATACATAGCTCTACATATTGTACAATATTATTATTCACAACTTTTCTGTTTCTATTCCAATCTCTTAAAAAACATGGTATTAAAGAGATATTTTGGGAGTTTCATGTTGCATAGTGATATTTTACAGAGATCAGTGAAGTGCATTGTTATTCGCAAAACGGATAATTCTTTCTAGTTTTCTCTTTTGATTTATGCACACACATGGATTGTCATTTGATTTGCGTGTGTGAGAGAGATCTATTCCTATATAAGAAGCGATCTTCACATTGGATACATTTTATGAATATTTTTATTATCATTTTATACTTCGTATATATCTTATTGAATTATATTATATACATGTAATTGTGCTTCTGGAACATTGGCTAATCTGTTCGATCTTTACATGGATGAGACAGGACATCCCGAATGCCTTCTGGAACTTTGAAGTAGATTAGGAACTTAGACCGTAACAGATAGTTTATATAAAGGACGGTAGAGACTTTCGATCTACTTTGGCATGTTTCAGTTCGTATTATTAGATAAGTAATAATTGTTTAATTTTAAGACTTTCCTGCATGATCGCCTGGATTAATTCATCGAAATATATTGTATCGCTTGCATGAGTGTTTAATTGTTTAACTATTTAAATGTTTATCGCCGAGGTGATATAACGGGACGTTGATACATGCAGTTAAATAAAACTTAGTTTTTTTTGATAAATGAACGCTGTAAATTTATATGCTTTGATATTTTAAAACTTGTCTCTGCACAATCACTGTCCCGTTACGCAGTGGGTATATATTTATATCTTACTAATATATATTTAACGCATAAAGTATGAAAAAATATAAAATATTTATAAATTATCAAATTATCTCTTTTTATAATATATATTAAATAAAGATTGAATCTAGACATTTTTCCTTTACGCTCGAATATTTTAGTAAAAATGTTTTATAATATTTTAATAAAAATGTACTCTAATACTTTATGCTACATTTATGCATTTAATATATTTTGTGATACAAAGAATGAAGCTTGTTCTTATATGCGTAAAAGTTTTTATATTTACAAAAATCATGAGACATTATAATAGTACGTGCGTTAGTAATATCATATTTATAAGATTATTGTAATATTTTTATATAATGTACATTTTATAATAAAATTAAAACGAAAATGATTTTATATGAACAAGTTTCAATTGTTTATTTAACGACGATATTGAGTTGTTCGCAATTATCTATTTCTAATGTTCCATTTTGTTAACTAAATATAATTATATTATATTGATATTATTGCTACAAATTTTTTACATTATAATGCTATTATTAAATATTATTGCACACTATTTTACTTATTGAAACACAACTCATTATCAATGACGTTAAAGCTTTGCAGTATTCTTAGTCGCTTATCGATGGCCACTTTCTTGCATACAATGTTGTTATGTCTACAAATGTACAAAAACAAAGAAAAAGCTATTTAAATTTTTTGTTAATTTGATACCTAACTGCAAGACAGCGAATATTATGCATGACTTCGTCGTAGGTTGTGCTTCACAAAACTGAAGCTCCTGTTGTTGGCCATCGAGATAAAGGGCGAAGGAGGCTCCGATAGTAAAATCTCGATTAACCCACGTGGTGCCAAGATCGCTGCAAATACTCAGGGATTCTTCATTGCTCAATCTGCTGACGAAGTAAAGCGGTAAGAACCCTTTTGTATCCTGGAACCCCGTTAATTCCGTTAAAACGGAATTAAAGCAGAAGTTTATTTAGAGATTGTAGTCCATATTCTTGCATAATATTTATCCCTATTAGGAATTACTAATTATCAATATAAAGCGATATTCAACGCAAACTAAAGAGGTTCGAGCAGTCAGTTAACATTGTATGTTTAGTGACAACAATCATTTGTGTAATATAACTTAGAATACAGTGTTTTATCAATTTTTTACATTTATTATATACATTTATCGTTTTTTTTTCTCTATTATTGTACATTATTTTATAAATTAGACTGCATAATCATTTTTTGTAAGCACTTATTGAAATTTCGTTGTTTTATTTTATACCAAATAAATGATATAATTTTCTATGAAATAATAATTATGTGCCTTTCTTGTGCTTTTACTTTCAGGGCGTGGTTCTACTGCAAAGCATGCCATGAGGATATTAAAGACGAGACTCTGATCAAGAAGTGCAAGTGCAAAAATTGTAAGTCTTTCTGGCCCAGTGATCCTTTAAACAGCTTTTCTCGATTTTTGCCAAATTTTCTGCTAAACGACATCCGGTCTTCTCTCTGCCGATATATATAAAATATATATATTTATATCTAATATATAAACTGTACACAGATGTAATTTGTATATAGAACGCGCTCGATCTATCGATAGAGATTGCGAGTCTCACACGCGGTTTCTCTCCCCGTTCTCTTTCTGTCTTTCTCTCTCTTTCACTCTCGCTCTCTCTATCAATTGATATTGATGGAGCGTGTCATTGATGTGACTCGCAAAATTATAACGTCTCGGCGTAAACGTAACGTATAAATGCAAACGGATCATATAAAAAGCTCTCTTTATCTCCCCCTTCCCCTCTCCCACGCTCACCCTGGTCTCTGCCAACCCACCTTTTTTTGCCCTTTGCCCTTGTTTGAGAGCGTGATAACAGTAATAACTGCGATTATTAATAAAGTGACATGGTTGTGACCATCCTGTTGTGATATATGATCTAGTGGGGCAGCAGCAACGTTCCTGGGGCCGGGACTTAGGTAACGTCTCTCTCACACTCGTTCGTTAAGTCTGATATCTTTACTATCATCTCTATGACTATCTCTTAATTACTTATTTTTAATCTTTTTGCCCTTTTACATACAATCTCACTCTTGATCTAACCCCTTCATTCATCAAACATCAACTTGATTGTACTGTCTACTGTCTCTGCCTCTGTACTAATATTCTTGCGATATTCTGTCTGTCTTTTATTAAGTTTTTCTCACTCTTCATTTCTCCCTCTCCCTTTCTCTTTTTTATCTCTTTGTCTTTCTCTTTCTCTATGTCTGTATTTTCCGTCTATCTATCTATCTCTCTCTCTTTCTCTTTGTGTCCTATCGATACATATATGCCTCCGACATTAATCGATCTCTTGCAAGTCAAGGTGATGATTATGAGGATAATTGTTATAATGATGATGATGATGATCAGCATAACGATGATTGCATTTTTAATTTTTATTGCAAGACACAATCCCGAAGGCGATAATCCCGATGCTATAATCGGATACTTCTTCATTTTTCACCGTCATGTTGTTTGACACTTTCGAAAAAGATTTGCAGCGATTTTTACAGTCACGAACGGCAATAAAAGCCGTCGCTAGAGAACGAACATATTTTATAACAAATTAAATGAGAATTTATTGCGGCATCTACACTCGAGTTGGTCAAACATTGCTGTGTGCCACGACAAACATGATCAATTTATTTCATTTCGTGGAAACCTTTACGCTCGTTCCAATCGCGAGAAATGACGTGAAAAATAAATGAAGTACCGAGTTCAACAGTAATTTCCGAAAGTTCAGTCAGTTGGCGCATGTCCACCTGACCGAGAACGAAAATTAGCCTGCACTACTAGTATGTGCCCCTCTCGCTCGCCTTGCATGCTGATTAGCTCCCGGATTTGGATCCATTTTTGCCATAATGGTAATGACAGCTTCTATCTCGATCACTGTCTTCACCCCCCCCCCTCTCTGTCTCTTTCTCTTTCTTTACCTTGCTGTCTCCATTTTCTTCTTTTTCCGAAACTACGATCTTTGATCGTCTGCCGGCTCTTTTTTTTCTCTCTTTTGTCTCTCTTTCTTTCTCTTTCTCTTACTTTCCCTTTCTTTCTTTCTCAACGTGTGCTAGTTGTATTATCAATGAGATCTCTCGTCGATCGATCGGCCCGATCGAGTCGCGCGATCGAATCGCGCGTCTTCCACCGCGCTCTCGGCATTCGCCCTTCGAAACGTTTCTCGTTTTCGTACTCGCCAGTGAAATTGGAACGTCGACCGGTGGTGCGCCGATGGCAGGAGTATACCCATCCGTTCCCCACGAACGACGAGATCCCCCGTGCCGCTCAGGCACATCGGGGGCGGCCACGGGTCGTCCCCGTTTGACAATTCCGTCCATGTCACACGCGACATACCGTATCAGGCGTATACTCGTACACGACCACGTACATGATCACATCCACACAATCCAGTCTCCCCCAAGTAGCGGACTTACGCTCAACCGGTCACACAATCAGTCTTGTCCATACACAGGAACGATAATAACCCTAAACCCTGGGCAATCAGCATGCCTGGTACTCGTGCCACGCTCGAGTACCGGGTGATCCGTAATATCGATCAACGTTAATTCGATCGTTTTAGGTTTTCAAAGAGTCTCGGCGGTTACGAGGAAAGATAACTTGCCTGACGAACGAGCTTATTTTCTATTTTTTTTTCAGCGTTGCCTATCTTGGATGTACCGAATGTATTCCCATTTGCGGTTGAAAAATTGTGACTAACGCCTAATTCGCCTATTGTCCGTGATGTTCGAATTCGTACGTGAACCGACGCGGGATTGCGGTCTACTAAATTGTCGTCAATAATATTTTATTAAACTTATTATACTTTCATTAGAGTAGAATCTAAATTACAATTGGCATTTGCATATGTTATATGTAATTTATTACACACGATTCATTCTGTTCGCGCGTACGTGCACATACGAATTCCACAAAAGCTGAATGTTATTAAAGAAAAAAAGAACAAAGTGCATTGAACATCAGCTGTTTTTCTCCCATGTACATACGACATGTCTGTTCATTTTACTTGTAACTCATAAACCCGTGTCCGGGTCGATCGCTGGATTTTTGCAGATGTGGGGATGATGATGATGCAGACCGGCATGGTGAAAGGAAACACTGCCTACAGCAGTTATCTCGACGGTATGCCTGTTGCCGGCTTCCTTCTCCATCCTTTTCGTATCCCGCATACGCGTGCCCACCTGTCGCAGCTCCTGCGAGATTTTGTCAGCATAACGAGCACGTTCACGAATCTATTTAAATATTGAATTTCTTGAAAAGACTACTCTTTAAAGTTAACGTTTTAATTGCTTAATTTAATCAACGTTTGTTGTCCTGACAAAATGCGTTCTGCCGGACCCGGCATATTTTTTTCTACGCGGATATCGAGAAATCACGATCGCAATGAGTATCGACGCAAATATCGCGTAAATATTCCGCATGCAGCATTGCGTTGCAAGTTTTGGGTTTCGGCAGAATCAGGTTGGCCTTGAATGTGTAATGAGGTAAGATGGCGTAAGTGATACTGAACGTACAATAATCAGACCGACGGATTAATCGTCTCATTTACCGTACGCACTTACTCCACAGTACCTATATTCAATACTCTCCCATTTCGGATTCGTATCGGATCCGTGCTGTTTATCGTTGAGCTTTCGCTAGAGTTGATGGCATTGAGCGAATTATCGAGCATCGCCCTCTAATAGCAGCATACAATTACGTTACGTAGCACTCTAACATTGTTCGTCGCTTCTACCTCGACACGTGGGCCGGAATCGAGTAACAAGCACGCCAGTTGGACGAACGGACGGTCATACAGAACAAAATTAATTAACTATTGCGTATTATGTTTAGCTTCATAAATATATCATAAATACGATACAAGGCCGCTTTCGCGCAAAAAAAATGCATTATTGCACGTTGCCGAGCCGTATATTTTGTGTCTTCACGTTAAATGGCTGCCACCTAACACCAGTCGACGAGTTTGCTCATATCGTATTTCAGGCTTGCTAACAGTTATCGTTTCTTAATTGTTGTTTCAGTGTGCTTACGTGGAGTTTTATTGATAATTTATATGTTTTACCAGTTCCAAATACTATCGCGCATTTATCGTCTTATGTAATGCGCATAACGTTCACTTTTTCTTCTTATTAAAACGCGCTTCAGGCAATAATGATTACAATAATGAACGTGATGATTTGGAACTGGGATATTTTCTATATAAAAGGTTATCCAATATATCGCATATACTTTATATACATTTTTTCTGCATATATAATTGAACGCAATTAATATAATTATTTTGGGTCGCCTTGTATATATCTAATATGTAAAAGTATGCATTGTTTTTGCACAAATCAAACGCTTTTCGTGAAAGTTATTATCTTAAAAGTTATACTATAATATAAAGCTTATGCACTTATAAATTTGAAAATAAGCAAGTATTGATATTGAGACATTAGTATTAACTTTCTCGAAAGACGTTTTCTTATTACCCTGTATTTACATTAAGACATATAATTAATTATTACATAATTAAATTCCATTGCAGCAAATTTTTGTATCTATTAATTTGTTTAATTTGATACAGATTTAATATGTTAATTGCAGCGTTACTTGCAAAAAATTAAAATATGATTACGGATACTCGTGTTGAGAATCTTGTGCCAATGTTTAAATATGCATTTATGAATATTTTTGCACTTATTTAAAGGAATATTTAGAACTTTATATATATTTTATATTAAATTTCTAACAGTATATTATTTAAGAAATATTTCAAGTGTGTTACATATATAATATATATGTTATCTTTTCCTTATTTTTAATTTCAAAATGTTTCAATAGCCAAGGTAAAAAAAAAACTACGTGCATTACTAAATATGATATTGACCTGCTCGTGCACGTGAAATTCCGTTTCCGTGATATACTTTCAATGTCGCTAAGTGCGGGTTGATTAATTGGATTCAGCACGCAACCAGAAAAAGCACCGAGACGTAAGCTTACCATGAGCTTAAACAGCTTACAGGGACGATGATAATCGATGCCCAGGGTTTATCGAATACATCGGCTAAAAATACTCCATTTCCCTCTCACATATCGAGCATATTTGACACAATTCACCAACATCACAATAATAACACCGACACTCTGCAACCGATATTGACTTTGAGGAAACGTTTATTTCTTTTCAATACGTATTTCTGAATATAATGAGGTTCAACTGCACAGCGCAAATATATTATAATCTCTATGTGTTGCGACCCTCACAGTAGGCCGAAGTAAATTATGCAATGGTTGTAATACCAATGTTAATAATGACTCTCTCCATCGAAGGTCACGTTACAAGAAAAATACCAAGACACCAAGCTTCCACCAAAGCTGAAATATTGTTATTATTTATCATACTAGCAATACTCGATCAAATCAATCTTTGCTTCGAAATCCATTCGTTTTTACAGAAAATATCTACACGAGCTAAATATCACACATGCTTGCTTAAATCAATTTTGAATATAACACACAGAATATATATGTTGCTTAACTTATACGTAACAGTTAAATTTAATGAAGAAGGTAAATCAATAACCAGAGAGAAAATACGGAAAATTTTGGTAATTTCCCATTTTCTAATAAATCGCACTGAGTATTAAACGTGACATATCGATCGGGACCACGGATTAGATTCCCCACACCCGTTGAGACCCCCGCATCTAGGTTGACATTGTTTTGGTTGTGACAACTAACAGCTCTGGTTCTCCTCCCTTCGGGCAGTGGCCACATTCCGGAAAGGCGTGCGAGCTGTTCAGATGGTTGGAAGAGCAAGTACGTATCCCCCGTGTGTAGATTGTACCAAATATCATTTTTTAATTTTCCGGAAATACGGAGACTTTTAAAGTAAATTCATTGAACGGGGTGTGATTGCAAAAAAGAATAAGTAAAATCATAATATTCTAACAGCAGCATGACCTTTGACTCGGAAATAATATCAATATCTTGATAAAGTTGTAAGAAAGAATTTTAATTACAAATGATGTATAAGCAATAGCAACTTTTCTTGTTTTTATACAAACAACATACAAAAGAATGTTTTTTTTGTAAATGTATGTAAATGTTAGTCAATGCATAATATAAGATATTGTAGTTATTTAGAAGCAATAAAAGCATCAATTTTCTGATGTTTATTAAAATATTTAAATAATATAAATTTGCAACATAATGTTATAATAATATACTGACATCTTAATTAAAAATAGTATTTTTAATTTTTTTAATGTTACCGGATTTTTATGTGTCATATCAAGTAAGTTTGATTCAAAGGTCATGTTTAATTAAACAATATCATACGCGGTTTTATATAAGTACATATATTGTTTGTTTGATAGTAATATTATTCTAAACGCCAGATTTTTTAATCCGGAAACGTAATTTAAAATCACTGTATCTCGATTTGAGGTCTTGACGAAAGATAATATATAATTTCTATAATCCTAATCTTATAATCCTATTTATATGGATACTTAATAATGAATATTATTGATATTACTTATCTTTTTTTTTATCAAATAAATTCTTTTTTATCGAGTAATGAATTTCTCGTCAAGGCCTATTTTATTGATAAATTTCACAATGGTTGTAATTGAACGATTATCGAGCAAAAAAATTATTATTTACATGTTCGACAAGACTAGCACAACGGGTGAAATATGAGATTTTTTAACACGAAATATTCACACTGTTTCTTACTTGGTTTATAATTCCGCGACAAAATTTATTAACAAAATTAATGTCGTTGTGCTAATCTCCCAAAGTTTGTTCGGATTGATAAATGGCTCCAGCGTAGAACATCGTTAGTGTTTGAGTCCCTATTGGTGTGGTGTTCTTAACTATTTTGCAACTGAGATTACACTACTATCAGTGTCGTTTTGAATGTAGTTTTCCTGAAAGTTTGTCAGTGTTAATCAATGGTTATTGTTGTAAGTGACTTATGAAATTAACTCGATCGAGAATCGGCGTGATGTGATTGCTTTGAAGTCTTAAACTACTTCCAATCAACCTTGCATCGGTGTTCGATATTTAATAACTCGACGTGTAATTAGAAATATTTTAGATATTAGCTCTTTATTACGTGGATTTTTACTCGTCCTGTGACAGAGGCAATGATCGTTGAAATCAAAGAGAACTAACGTCGTTGTAACCTGAATATTCGCTTCGGTATTTGAAATATTTTCAACGCCATAGTAAATGTCTAATCAACATGAGTGTTACCGCTGGATATGGAGTATCTATATGTTTCGAAAATTCGCAGAATACTCTTTGTGTCGGCGTAAACGTCACGCTGATAGTACCAGGACCGCCGATGTCCATTCGCTTTATTAACAGTCAGATGAACGTCGCTCTTGAATTGACGGCAATGACGCGCTGTCGCATGCGACATCAACGAGTGTTCTGTACTAAAAAAAAAAAAAAATTAGTTGGTTATCGGAGCAGCCTCGCGGACAGCTTGGTTCACCACCAGCGCAAAGATCAATGAAAGCTCTAGTAACCGCTCGTTACTCCGATTGCCACGTTATTTTTTTTTCTTTCTCCCTTTTCTCGGATGCAGATTGGTGTTTGCCGGCTGAGCACCACATCTTCACGATGTTAGATAGATGAGTACACGTGAGCGATGCGCGCGTAAGAGAAACAACAAACAGTTAATTAACGCAAAAACCCGCACACTTGTCACTCGCATCGCTCATTCATGAGTATACACACTCATTTTACGACTCATGCATACACAGTGAAACACGCGTATCAGCAATCGCATTAAATGTCAAAGCATACTCACACTCACGCATACGTACGCACATCGACACACGTATACTACACATACACGCATACATATATATATATATATATATATATATATATGCACACACATTTGCATTTACACGCGAGAACAACAAAACACGCGCGCGCGCACGGGCTCACGACAGAACACGAGATCCGCAAGCAAAGGCTCTTTAACTAACTCTCTATATGTGTCTATCTGTCCGAATCTATCTTCTCTCCTCGTCTCCTCCACTACTCCGCATAGGTGAAGACTTCTCGTACGCAAGTAAGTTCAACAAGAAGCGCGATTACATACATTGACATTTATATATATATATGCATCTTCCTTCCTGTACATATTATTCGCGTACGATCTTTCCCAGCCGCGACCGCGTTCACGAAAAGGCAATTTCGTATATCGCGACACACGTATACGCGTTTGTCACGCGTTCAGGAAGAAGGAGGTAGATTAACGAAGCGCTACCGTCGATGAAGCGTATCACCTTTTGCACATTTACTCGAACATTCCGCTGTTCCTTATTTTTCAATCGGTTTGACTTTACAAGCGAACAACATCGGATCAACAGATCGAGTTACGAAATAAAACTTATTGCATTTCATTCGAATGAGAAACATATTGCACCGAGCTAAAAGAATAATGAAATGAAAAATATTACAATAAAAAATTAATGGAAAACGTTGCAACAATTGCAAATAAAATAAAAAATTATATTAAAATTGAATGAAGAAACATTATAATTTGAGATCAATTTCTACACCTACAATTGGCCTACAATAATTTTTATTAATAAAAAATTACTTAATTGCATATAATTTCTTGGTAAACTTCGCGTTTAAAATCAGGTCATGAGAATATATTTCCTTATAGATATGTCAAGCGCGATATATCTCATCTCACTATTCGATTTGTCAATTTTAATCATGGTCTTATTAATTTCCGCTTATATCACCCTTCCAAGAAAGCTGGGACTTCTGCGATCTCCCATTCTGCGAATGGGAAATAAGGAACGCTTGTTGCGAACGCTTTCTTGGAAGAAACGGGGCGAAGAGGGCTTACTTTGATTTTCCGAATAAAGAGGAACGGCTGTGACATTGACAGTTTCTAATTAGCGTCATTTCGTTCAGCGAGTCTCGAGTAAGTGCGTAAAGGGAAATTTTTCTCGCACGTATCTTGCAATGTATTTTCACTTGTCTCACACCGACGGTCTCGAGATAATGTCAATTGCCAATTAAACAGAACGCAGGTCGTAATCGGCGCATCTTGTCTCGTCCCGCGGACGGCGAGTTTACGTCGGAATCCAAAAAGAGAATTCTCCTTGCGCTTTCAATAGAAGAGCTCTATGATCTTTCATGCACTCTTTCAATTCCTCCCGAGCTTTCGCAAAGTCTTTGTCGTCTTTTGCACGTGAATTCTCTTTCCCAGAGGATGCAAAGCGCGCACTAACAAATGTCGAGTAAATATTCACTCTATAAAGTCATATTATTGCATGCTTAGGACACAATACAACATCCGACGTGGATGGAGATGACGAATCGTTCTTGTCTTGTACGCTAATCAAAAATCGGCAAAGAAACATATTATAGTTTTAACTGCTTGATATCGATAACGTCTTCTCCGTTTACGTCATTTTCGGCATGAATTAGGAATGATTTTGGGCACACTGCACGTTTATGATCATAGATCGACTTTAGTACTATGTTGTATAATGTTCCCGCAATGTGGACGAAGTTGCTTTTAATGTTTAATGTTTAACCTTTTTATAGAAGCTGTGTAACTTTAATCGTCAACTTTTCGTCCATGTTGTTACGAATTTTTAGGTGTTAGAATTTTAGAATTACACACTTGTCTATAATTTTAGTGGTTATAGACAATATTTTCTTAGCGCAGTATTGAAAGGCCGTTTCAGCTGGACCGTAACCATTATATCTTATTATTTAACTATTACATATATCGAATTAATATATATTAATATTTATACAAATAAATTTTTAATCAACAGCATATATATGATGATTAAATGTTGAGGTTTCTGTAATTTGTTACTTTTCTAGATTTTATATATAGCGCAAGGTAAGGAAAGATTATTTTCACAATTTCTGTTTAATATTTTAATAAATATTCTAATACTATAATAAATTCATTCCGATATGATCTTTGAGTCATTGTTATCGCGTCGCGTGATGCTGAAACGGAACTTCGTTTTTAGAAGTTATAGCGCAGATTTAGTATTGTTCAACGATAGAGTAGCGACTTAGGCCTTAGGTAATTAGTTAGGGTAGCTAACATGTGTAGTGGTTTGTTACAGACGACCACCATCCTCCCCCCACATTCACTCCGCCAGAACTGCCCAAGATGGTTCACGTAAGAGGTACAGTTACACCTCAATCAAAAACCATGCTACAGTCTCGCAAGCTGCCCTTTCTAATTTTGATCGGCAATACGACACGAATACACTAACGAGAAGTTGCTTGATGATTAGTAGATATGACGATTCTAAAAAGAATCACTGCTCTCGATTGACATCGGAAATTCGATCTTTCGCATTTGATACGCTTCGTCAAACTCGCTTAAGCGATAGGTTCTTGATACGTCGTGTTCGATTAAAATTTTTCTTTTTATTGAAATTTTAACACGCTAATTTTATGTTGTTGAAATATTGGAGAAAGCGGAAGAAAAATAACAAATAATAAAATATTATAGTCCATTGTTCAAATCATAGTTATGTATATTCAACGCACTATTCTTGTGTGTACTACTTTCTCCATTATTAACAGGTGCATGAAGTTGTTTAATAGATTTAATATCTATTTATATTTTTTCGTCATTTTATTTTTTCTAGTGTAATGTATATATTTAAATATTATTTTAATGACTATTTGTTTTGAAATCCTTTTTTACATAAATTTATATAAAATTATATTTTTATCTTCCATAATTTATAATTTATAATTTTATAAGAAATAATTATTATGTTTTTTATTTTTAAATTTGCCAACATTTATTGAATTAGTTTGCACAAAACACAATTTTAGTATAGTTGCAATAGCATTCGGTAGTTTTACAAAACTTATTTTATTATATTTTTTTAATTATTTGCTTTACCATCCATAAACGGTCCGTAATACATCAATAAATTTTACAGACCTTAATAAATAAAATGTAGCTATTTACCAAACCTACGTTTAATTTTAGAATTTTTTTTAAAGTAGAGTTACATGTAACGGACCGTACGTATCATTTTTGAAAGCGTTTTTATGAGGAAGCGAATGAACAGGCAATTTTTCAAAAAGTAATTGTTTTTCAATTAACAATTATTGCAAAATATATTTCCCTGTAAACTATCTTTTTTATAAAATTTTAAGACATTTTCATAAGGATTAATATCGAAGAATATCTTTTTTGAATATAAGACTATAATACCAAATTGATAGAAATAAATTATACTTGCGTAATTAAAATGCTCGGAATATCTATTGGTGCTCGTCTGCGTAAGTAGTAAATTGTTTCTAAATATACGAATGTTTCTCATACTTTCATGCCAATTCATGAACCAAATATTACAGCATATAATACTGTATATAAACTGTAGATTTATTCTGTATATTCTTTTTCTATTCTAAGTAATTTTCATATGATATTTAGATCATAATAAATTACAAATGCTGTTTCATCAATGCAAATTATTTTTTGACAAGAAGTTTGAGAAACATTACTTTAGCTCAAATACTTTTTGTTAAATTAATTTCTCCCCTTCACTTTTGTGTATCATAAATAGAAATTTTTCTCTCATACATCTAGAATGTCTGTTCCACGATTGAATCGTTGACTTTGTGAAACGCTATTTTCGGATCGATATCTTGTTGCTTTTAACTTTGTAAAGATGAATTTATAGTTGTATACACGCACGGTAGATTAATGGATCCTAATTTGGAAGTTTTAGTTTTGTAACATCTGTGGTTTGTTGGCAAATATATATGTACATCATTCACTTTATAATTTTGTTTCATCATTATAGAAAATGGTTGTTTAAGAAACTACTGCTACCACAGGCGCCATATGTTGTCTCGTGAATTTTCATAGCGCCGCAATAGCTTGCAATTACTTCCAAAGCAGCTATTGTTTTTATCTATATAGTAAATCTATAAATAAAAATCTATAAATAAATTTTTCTTCCTGCCTAATTTTATACTTTAGAAAAAATAATTTATTTTTGAACAAGTTGTTTAATATTTATATTTTATTATATATTTTATTATATATTATATATTTTAGCAAAATTTTTATAGGAAATAGATTTACATATTTTATTTCATACATTGTAATTTATGACAAAATAACATTTTATAACGATTTAAAAATAATTATTCCATAAAAAATACTTTACACTTTGAATTTCAATAAAATTTTGATAAAAATAGAATTAATTGATTTTCTAAACAAATTATTTCTAATTTATAATATTTATAATTATAAATATTATAATATTTATAATTTTTCAAAACAAAAGTTTGATATATACATGTTTAAAGATCTTATAATTAAAATGATTTCTGATTTGATCGTTGATTAATTTTTTAACCACACATGCAAAATACATGTGTAGGGTGTAAGTATGCGCGCCTGTAAGCATGGGGTATAGGCTCATCATCACGGAAATAATATGTGCTGTAATGGGGGGAGTTAGATCACTATCAGTGTGACACTTTAATCGTCTTAATCATTGTTGCTTTGCCATTATAGAAATAGGATGCTCAGATTTAGAATTAATGTTATTTTAACCATTTTAGGTGAGATCAGCCGTGAACGAGACGATCCGAATGGTAAGTCTTAGAATTATATAAAAATAATTAATTTAATGACTTATCAAGAGTCGGACAAAATATTTGAGTCTGAGAAAATTTTAATATACATTATGTTATAACTATAGTTGATATCAGTAGTATAGTTGATATCTGTAGTAATAGTATATAATAGTATATAATAGTAATATTGATGATGCTTTTACTTTACAGTTATGAGAAATCATCGGAACTCCGTCGGGATGACCATGATGAATTCGACGAAGCAGGTCAATAAAGTAAAGCCAAACGTGAATCGAGCGACGAATGACAGTCTGTCCAGCCCGAATCAGCCATATAATCAGAGGTATTTGATTATACAGCACATCATAATTTTATCATCACCCAACATATTACTCATTCAAACATGATCACTTACATCGCCATCATATAAAAAGAGGCATCTATATCTATGATCTTTGATGACCAAATGTTAAATGTCTATTTTGAATCTGACTAAAGCAACACATGCGAATTTCATCTACTGAGAATTATCAATAAGAAAGAGTTGTGCGAAAAGTGATCTTTTAGAACAACATTCGGATTTTTATACATTTTTTATTTCTCTTTCTTTTACTCTTACTTTATAGTGAAATTTACAGTGCACTCGACATCTGATACCGACACGTATTTTCTAAACAGTGGGAATTGCTTTCTTCTCTGAGTCGCTTGAACGTAAATATCTTCCTAAAGTACGCTGTTTGATCTCTTTCTGTCCTGTCGTACAACATTATTTGTTAATTTATACTTTGACTACAAGCTTACATGTATTCTTTATAGCTGCACGATTAGAGTTACCAACTCTCTCACGCGTACTGTACAGGGGTTATTCAAACTGTAACGAAAAATTCCAGATTGAACACAAGCAAGACAAAATTTTGCCAAGCTCTCCTGTGTGAAAATTTTCTTGCTTACATAATATGTTGCATAATACTATTTAATTAACGAATTGGCAACATATTTTGAATAACCTAATTATACATATAATATTACAACAGCAAATTGATTTAAATATGCGGCTTTTATACTATTTCTTTTTCTTTTTGTAAATGTGTTAGCTTTCAGCTAATATTAATAAGATAATATCCTACTTTGATCGAGTGCACTAGGATGATCTGCACATTAATGTATCAACAACATCCGTATTTAGCATTTTTCTTCGTCCAGCATGTTTCCAAACTGTTAAACATACCCGCCAAAGTTTAACGTACCGATTCTCGGTAGAGATCTTCGATGCGATCCAGAATCACTCATTTATACGACCAAAAGTATAATTTTGACATTCATATACATTAACGAAATTACAAATATATATAAATCGAATAATTAAGTCCCATAATTGTTCGCATATCTTTTTACACTCTAAAAGTGTTATCTTTTTCTTGTGAAGAAGGACAAACAGTCTGTCATACTATATTTTTAGATTAGCTTTTAAGCATACGTTGTTTTATTGCGTATCGAAACATGTATTAGATACAGAGCCAATACGTTAGTTGGAAGCAAAAAGAGATTGATGTCTTTCTATCGTTTTGCTCAAGTTGTTGACAAAGGGCGCCGTAAACTTGAACGACGAACGGCTCGCATAAATCACAAGAGAAATCGCGCGAGAACGACAGTCACTTGTACTATTACGCTGTTGGACGATGCGAGTAACAGGCTACAGGTGGTCGTTGATATTTTCCGATGAACCTGTTACACGTACGCTAGATTAGTTTCTGCAGTTTCTCTCTACTATTATTCCAAGATCTCGCTGCATGCCTTTTGCCAATAAACGCATACGATTCGTACCTCAGCAAAACTCAGCGAATCTTTTTACGTAAGACAAGTTCGCGTAACGTAAGTCGCAATGTTTTCTTTCACAAATGAAATCGAACAATTGTTCTGATTTAAATTGCCAAAGAATCATTCATCACCGCCATCATTATGTCCTTCATCAACTGAGCCAAATCAGAGAGAGAGAGAGAGAGAGAGAGAGAGAGAGAGAGAGAGAGAGAGAGAGAGAGAGAGAGAGAGAGAGAGAGAGAGAGAGAGAGACGAGAGAGAGTA